GCACACACACACACACACACACACACACATAGTTGCAGACACACTCATGCACACATACAAGTTACCCCACAGTCCCTGGACCCCCAACTTCCATGGCCGACGGCTGTACAGCCAGATGGGCTCTGTGATAGTTGGTGGGGAAAGATGAGCTCTGACTGCTCCGATGGAAGAAGCCACACTGGGAAGTTGAGGGAGGAGGGGAGCAAAAGAGGCAGAGGATGGAAAGACTGAAGATGAGGGGGCCTTATCTCTGCTGTTTCTGGGGTGCAGGGGGCAGGCATCCTGGGGCCAGTTTCATGAAGACATCAATCTCCCTTAAGACTGGGCAGGTTCCCCACTGCTTAGATGCCACTCCAGAGCCTGGTCCACTTGCCAAAAGGTGTGCTCACTCTGTGATCAGTCCCAGGGGACAGGTGGGAAGTAGGGTAGTGCCCCGCAGAGCCCAAGGACATGCACGGTTCTGCAACCATCCCCAGATGTGGTATGTGGCTCAGAAACGATGAGCCCTGGTGATGAATGTGACTGCCTGTACTGATATGTGGGTGGGTGTGCTTTTACGTTGCACTCCAGATGTCAATGAGATTCTGTTACAGCTGGGTGTGTTCAAGAATGGTTCCATGTAGACCTGGTATGTGGAAGCTCAAAGTCCAGCCTTGCAGGCAGCTTCCTGGAACTAGTTCTCCACACTTGGTGGCCTTTTGGGCCACAGTTTTCTTTCCAGCCTTCACTGCCACACTCATTAAATCAGACCATACTTCCCCAGCTCCATGTCTTTACCTACCAGGGGCCTTCTGGAAGGCTCAGGCCCCACCCACCCCATCTCCCCATATCCAGATTCTATCAACTCACCTTCCTTTAAGACCCAGCTCCGCAGCCCTCTGCTCTTTTTTTTTTTTAAATATTTATTATTTAGTTTTTGGCAGACACAACATATTTGTTTGTATGTGGTGCTGAGGATCGAACCCGGGCCGCACGCATGCCAGGCAAGCGCGCTACCGCTTGAGCCACATCCCCAGCCCAGCCCTCTGCTCTTGAGTCTCCCTTCCTCTGAACTCCCCCTTTCTCAATTCAACCCCTTCTGCCTTGTCTTTGACTGTGAGGCTCAATAACCCCACTACGCTACAAAATTCCTGAGAACAAGATCTGCATCAGACTTATCTTTGAAACACTCAGGGCTGGATAGAGTCCCTGGTGCATGCAGGGTCAGCGCTTAATGTAGATTTGCTGAATATATGGGTGTGAAGGTGAGTGAGAGAGCCACAGTTCAAATGTCTGCCTGCCCCAACCAGGAAGTCTAGCCTCCAGCAGGTGCCCCCCTCCCCAAGCCTCACCTTCCACAGGAGCAGCACCAGCAGCGCTAGCACCAGCAGTCCGGCCAGCACAGCCAGGAGGATGACCCACCAGGGGACTCCTTCTGCCACCACAGCCATAGGGTCTAAGTATACCATCACTGGAATCTGAGTAACAAGGGGTTAATGGAGTGAGAGCTGGAGGGAGAAGGAAAGAAGAGAGTTTCCCCACCCAGCCAGCCCAGCCCTGCAGCTCACCACAGTGGAGGCATCTTTGAGCAGCAAGTTCTTGATGGAGGACTTCACTGTGATGTTGGCTCGGACAATCACTTCCAGGGACTTCACAGCTGAGTACTCCTAAGGGAGTGGAGAAGGGGACCCTCCTCCTAAATGCCCCATGTTCCCCTCACTTTCCCCCAGCTCCTGAAATTATAAATGGAATGGTGCCCAATGCCAAGGTTGATTCTGTCTGTATTAGTTCAGGAATATGCTGCATTTAGACAAGAACAAGGTAGCAATGAATCCCAGTGGGGCCTCTGCAGAAGAAGAAACACAGCCTGAAGCCCAGCAGAGCCCTCACCTCCAGAAAGGTGCTATTCCACAGGCGGCCCCAGACGTGCAGCACAGCCGCACGGTCAAAGCTATAGAGTGGACAGCTGAACACCACACAGTTGGCAGTACCACGGGCGCAGTCCTGAGGACAAGAACAGGCAGGGTTCAGAGCTGCTCAGCCCCACCCCATTAAGCCTACCATCTCTCTTATTTTCTTTTCAGGACCCCTAACTTCCCTTCCCCAGGAAGTCTTCCCAAACTAACCCTATTGTCCAAAATAGCTGCCTACCCCAAATCTGAGCTATTTGGCTTTGAAATGCATGAGGGGCACAGAGGGGATCTCTTAACAGGAAAAGGCAAAGTAGCTTCTCCAACTGATTCTTATTGCTACCTTATGATGGTTTCATTTTTGAGCACCTACTATCTGCCAGCAATTATCCCACTTAAGTATCCTGCAGAGTGCATATTATTAACTTTTTTTTTTTTTTGCAGTACTGGGAATTGAACCCAGAGGTATTCTACCACTGAGCTACATCTCTAGTCTTTTGTATTTTTTATGTTGAGATACGGTCTCACTAAGTTGCTCAGGGTGGCCTCTCTCCTGCTTCAGCCTTCTGAATTGCTAGGACTGCAGACATGTACCACCAACCCCAGAATTACTAACATTTTTCAAAGGAGGAAACTGAGGACCAGGGATGCCAGGTGACCATCTAGCAAAACTATTAAGTTGTGGAGCAGGTATTGAAAGTCAGGTCCACGTTATACAAAACCACAGGCCTGCACTAAGCTCAAACTCACTGAAGGAGGAGAAGGTGACACAGGATCTGCTGGAAGGACAGGAACTCAATCTGTTCCTTCCAAGACTGACCTAATCCATTTGGACCAAGTTGCCACTAATAACCTATTTGTATAAAAGTTATGTTATATTCATCATGCCACAGTCCATTTACAGAAGAATGGCTTTGAGAGTACTTGAAGTTACTTTGAGTCATCCTTTAATTTGCAACTTTTGAGCAATTCAAGAGCCCTTAGTCAATTTGTTTTAAAAGCAAGACTATCTGCCTTAACTTTGTGTGTTATTTTCATATGTTATGTTAAGTGAAACAAGCCAGGCATGGAAAGACAAATACCACCTGATCTCACCCATATGTGGAATCTAAAAGAGGTGAACTCAGAAGTAGAGAGTTAGCATGCTTACCAGGGGCTGGATGGGTGGGAGTGAATAGGAAATGTTAGTCAAAGGATACAGTTTCAGTTAGGCAGGAATAATAAATTCAAGAGCACTATTACTACTGTACATTGTGATGACCATAACTAATAACAATATATTGCATTCTTGAAAATCATCAAGAGCTGGGTGCAGTGGCACATGCCTATAATCCCAAAGCTCAGGAGGCTGAGACCAGAAAATCATAAAAGAATTCAAAGCCAGCCCCAACAACAGTGAGGTGCTAAGCAACTCAATGAGACTTTGACTCTAAATAAAATATAAAGTAGGGCTGGGGATGTGGTTCAGTAGTTCAGCAGTCAAGTGCCCCTGAGTTCAATCCCCGGTACCGCACCCCCCCCTAAAAAAAAACAATTAGATTAAAAAAAAAAAAGAACAAGGTTGTAACTCAGTGTTAGAGCACCTGCCTAGGATACATAAGGCCCTGGATTCAATCCCTAGCACTACAAAAAAAAAAAAAAAAACAGATCTCAGAGACCTATTCTATCCTGTATAGATATTTTATATAAATCTAAGACAAATGATTGCTAGCTGACTGACTGGTCAAGGATTCTGCTTGGAGGAACACTTGGAATTGGGGAGTATGTGGGGTCAGCAGTTGCCTCATAGGCACCCGCTCCCTCCAGCTGTGCTGCAAACTATCTTGTCAACTTGTCCTTGCCCAGGTGTTTGACCACCACTTCTTGACAGGCCACTCTCCCTGAATGTCCACAAAATGAAGCTCTGGACCCCCACAGCATTCCTATCATGTTATGCCCCAATTGTGTTCACCCTTCCCTCACCAGGGTGACGTTTTTCTTCTTCTCAGCAGAGGAAACTGGCCACCAGGACGTGGTGGGTGCCAGCTGCTCACGAGGCTCCTGCTGCTCCAGCTGCTCCAGCTCTCGTCGCCTCCTATCCCTACTGTCCACATCCTACACAGACAGAAAGGGAAGGACCAGTGACATTCCTCCAAATGCAGGGATCCTGAGGTCACATATCCTCCACACAACCCACACATGCTCCCCAGGCCCATAACATCCCTGCCAAGTCCTACCCTGCCTACCCTGCCTAAACCTCACCAGGCGGAGGATGTTGGGCCTGGGGGAACAGAGCCCTTTCTGCCCAGGCCCCTGACCGCCCTCCAGCTCCACTCGCATGGGATACAACAGCCACTTCCCATTGGCAATCTCGTGGGGCCACATGATGTTGAGGAAGGCGGAGCCCAGGGTGTTGAGCGACTGGCCTTGGTTGGAGACCTGTGGGAACAGAAGGAAGGGCGCTCAGTTTCTGAGCAGACCCTAAACCCACAGAGACAAGGGGACAAGGCTGAGGAGATGGCATCAAGAAGCACAGTTTCAGCAAAGACTTGGGAACAAGACCAGATGAGGCACCATTCTCTCCCCAGAGGCATCCTGAGCAGGCATGCAGGAGGCTCCAGCCAAGCCAGGACAGAATTCTAAAGACAGACATCAACTCTTCCCCAAGGTCCCATCCCTCAGACCAAAAGGAAATGAAATGGCCAGTCAAAAAGAACAGGAGATGGTTAGCTGAGGACCCAACTCCAACATATGCCCACAGCCAAGGTCCATGTGTAAGGCAGAGGCCCCAAAATCACTGGACCATGCAGCCCCTTATCCTCTGGGCCAAGAATGGAGAAGGGCCATGAAGGGCCCATATACCAGGACACTTACCGTGACCTCATACTTGACCTTGCTGCCCACATCCCGTTCAGACCGCATAGCACTCTCACCCCTCACCACACCGGAGAAGAAGAGTTGCTGTGGTACAGCCACCCTGGTATGAAGGGGTCAAAATAGAGGCTGAGAAAGCCTGGGGTCTGGCTGAATGGAGAGCCAGAAGTGAAAGGGCAGGCAAGACAGAGCCCAGGCCAGGGTTTAGGAGTGGGGATACCCCCACCCTCCAGCAGAGCACCCCACTTGGGCAAGGCTTACCCTGCGATGGACAGAGGCAGCTCAATGAAGACACGGGCTCGAGCAGACACGGGATGCAGCTCCTGCTCACTGATCCTAGCATGTACATAGGGGCAGCGGTGGGCAGCAGGCATGGGCACCCCCATGGGGTCAACGAGGACAGTCCAACTGCTATCATGCTGCCAACATCCTGCCCCAACAGGCTTACGTGGCCAACAGCAGCTCCACTTCCAGTTCTGTGGTCTCAATGGTGATCCCAGAGGTGCTGAGGATGAGGTAGAAGGTGACCTAGGCCAGAGTGGAATGAGAGAGTCATGGGGGTGGGGGGTGGCAGTAGGAGATTAAGGAGCAGCCACTCAGGCAGAACTAAGGGCAGATGTACCCACCTGGGCACCTCTCTTCATAGGGTTCCCCAGCTCACACTCCACATGGGAGGCATTCTCATTGGACAGGCAGAGCGGCTTTTCCTGGAATGTGGTAGGAAGGAAAGGTGAGATTGGGCTACTGGAGCCCTTCAAGACCCCACCCAACCCTGCCCAGGCCCCTCACCGCAGGATCCAGGGCCCGGACTCCTGAATAGTGCAGTGAGGCAGGGAGGGTGACCAGGAGCTGGGCTTCATGAGCATCGTCCCCATCAGCCTGGGGCTGGGCGGGGTTGGAAGGCAGGTTGGTGACCATCAGCTCAAGGCCAATGACTGGCTGCCCACTCAGTGCAAACAGGGCCGTTGTTCCATCCACATCCCTGGAGGGTCAGATCTCACTCACTCTAAGGTCAGAACACCCTCCCTGCCCCTCCACTCCTGCCTCCCCCACACTCACCCAGTGCACACTGCCGCCTCAGCATCCCTGGACTCTCCCCCCACCCCAGGTCTCCTGGATCATACACCAACCCAAGTCAGGTCTTTCTGTGCACCAATGAGAGCCAGGGGATCACCATCCTCATCCCAGTCCACTACTTCTTCCTTTGGGCAAATAACCTTAACCTTTCTAGGCCTCAGTTCTCCATCTGTAAAATGAGACTAATAACTCCTACCTCACATCTGTGAAGACTAAACAATGAGATGGAAACTGTATGTTATGGTGTTGTGAAGGGTTGTTACTTATGCCAGGCTCCTCTGGTACCCCAGCCCCATCACTGACTCGATTCCCAGTCTTCTAGATGGTCATCTGCTCCTCTCTGGCCTTCTTTCTACAGGGTCAGACCCTCCCTCTGCCTGGTCTTCCTGAGGGTACTCCTCCCTTTCCTTGAGCTCTTGCCATCCCTCCCCCTTCCATGTGCTCCCCACTCCTCTCACATGGGCAGAGGCTGGAACTCTGTGTCGCTGACCCGGGCACAGAAACGGGCATGCACCAGCTGCAGATTGCTCTGACAAATCTTGTCTTCACCACAGCCTTGCTTCAGAAAGTGGATCTGGAAAGCGATTTGAGGAGAGGGTCATTCCTAAGGGGCAAAGCATGGGTTAAATGTGTCACAAGGCATATAGTGGGTTGGAGTATTACAGGATTAAACAACCCAGATCTGCTGTTTACTGGCGGTGTGGTACTTGGATGGTCACTTAGCCACTCCAAGCTGTAATGTGAGGGTGTATTGCCATGCTGTGGTAAAGACGAGCAGATCATTCCATAGCTACACCACATTTCCCCAGCTATGACTGCAGGCACTGAATTCCACATCAAGAATGACAAGAGTGGTAAAGGGTACCACTCCCAAGCTGCCTGTAAGAACTGTGCCAGGAGATTCATATTTCTCCATGCTGGCTGAAAAGCAGAAAGGACCTTGGAGGCCACATTTGATGGTGTGACCACTTTTGATGACAGACCTCCATCAGCCTGGGACCCTAAAGGATTAGAGACTGGAGGAACACCATCCCCGGACTGGAACATGTGGTTTTGGGGGCCATTTAACATTTGGGGGGTCTACTTATTACAGCAACTAGAAACATGAAGCACTACCAGGGTGACGTGTAGAAGAGATTTGCAAGCAATGAGTGGGTGTCACTGGTGAAGAACAAGGATCACTGCCCCTCCCAGCACCTCTTCCCATACTCACCTCTGCCCGCTGGGTGCTAGGCTGGTGGGCATTGAGGATGGGGGCCACTGGGGGCAGTCCCTGGCCAAGAGCCTGTCGCCGGAGCCGAGGGGTCTGGAGACTATAGGACAAGGTCACCACAATGGCCCGAAGTTTGTCTTTGACATTGTCCTGAGAAGGGGAAAGATTGTTGCTCACTGGAACACCCCTGCCCCTTTCCACATGCTAGGATCAGTGAGCAGGAGCTTCACCCATTGTACACCTTGAATACATCATTTTTAATCCCCTAAATGACTCCCCAACCCTACCCAAGACCCCAGCCAGACACAAGACACATTCTGAAACTTAGAGAAGTTTAGAAAGATTAAGGACAAAGATGGAGAACTGAGCAAGGAAGAAGGAGGAGAGACTGCATTAGGGAAGGAAGGCGACCCAGGATTTAGGACACTGAGGACTAGATGTGAAAATGGAACCTGCCATCCCCACCTCCAGAGACTACAGGAGATACAAGAAAGCAGTCATGAGGAGAAGGTGAAGCCATAAGGGAGGTTTCTTGGAGTGATTCAGATATCAGAAAGAGGTGTGAGCGTGTCAGAAGCAGCTAAGAGGAATAAAGGAGAAGACATGCGGTGAGAAGGACCCCCAGGCCAGGAATTGGTGTCCACCTGAAGCTGGAACATGGTGTCTCCACAGACTCGGTCATGCTGGTGCTTCAGCCACACAGTGCCTGAGGCCTGGTGCTTAGGATCATCTGGGCTACGGCTCAAAAAGGTCACACGCGGAACCTGGCCCCGGAGCCTCCTATCTGTGTCCCCATCTAATACATAATCCAGGGCTGTGGTGTGTGGGGAGAAGAGAGGGGTCGTGAGTTGGGAACATCTCCCTCTGACTCTGTCCCCAAGGTTCCCTCCTCTCCATTCAGGAGTGACCCTCCCTGGAAACCCAGTGAGATGACCAGAGGGAGAGGACCTCACTCACCCACAGTAGGGCTGTAGCTGCTGGGGACTGCAATATAGCTGAAACAGATCCTTAGGTCCACACTGTGGGAGCAAAGGGTGGCTTCTGAGCCAAACAAAGCTGATGTTCCAAGGTCCCAGGCCCACCCTTCCCATTCCTCCAGCTGGGAAACTGGAGAGAGACAGGAACAGGAAAACTAGACCTTGCTTGCTCTGACCTCCTCGGACCCCGACTCACCAGACTGAGTGGCCACCAGCACAGTTGGGCTGTTCTAAGTCGATGGCTCGGGGAGCAATGAAGACCTCGTGGGAGACGTGGAGAACAGGCCTGGCCCTGGGGGAACAGGAAGTCCAGAGTACAAGAAACATGAGGACAGGAGGCTGGACACTCATTAGCTTCAGACTTGAAGTGGAAATCAGAGTTACAGGGAGGAGATGATGGCCTCAAGGAGGGAGAAGGCAGCCAAGAGGGAGGGGCTTACCTGAAGAGTGCAACAGTGTCCGCCAGGGAGCCCACCAGCAGGTCAGGATAATGGTTCCCATCCACATCCAGGCCACCCGACAGAGAGTAGCCAAAGCTCTTGATGCCCACAGCCTCGCCCTCCAGCACCTGGGGACCAGCTGTCAGCCTCCTTCGCTGAACCCCGTCTCCCCCATCTGCCTCCCCTGCCCTCTGCAGCCCTTATTCCACCCACACCCATTCCCTCATCACCATGAGTCTCCTCACCTGTGAAGGTTTGATGACCACCCCCAGGCTGCTCCCATGGTAGATAAAGACCTTCCCATCCCCATCAAAGGGAGCTCCCACAGCGATATCTGAGGGTCATGGGGAAAAGGCATCACACTGGGGAAGGGGTAGACAAGGGTAGGCCCCAGTTTCCCTCAGGCACTCGGTCTGTATAATGAGTTTTCTTTTGTATTGGGAAACTACAAAGTCCCAGACACCTGGAATACATCATTTTTAATCCCCTAAATGACTCCCTTCAGTTATTATTAGCTCAAAAAGGTCACAAAGCATAATAAAGTTCATATGTGAACCCAGAATCCTCTCTCTAAGCCCTCAGAAGACCACCCCCCTGACCTCTGAGGGGCTTCCCCATTCCTCCCCTGACCCCATCCCTCCACTGAATCTTTTCTGTTTCCAATCACACCTGGGAAGCCATCTTGGTTGAGGTCCCCCAGGACAGCCAAGCTGATCCCGAACATGGAGTCAGGGGAACCACAGAGCCGGAGTGGGGAGACCCCTGTCCAGTGACCACCCTGGTTCATGTACACATACACAGCTCCCCCCAGCTCTTCTTGGCGCTCAAAGAAGTAAGGGGCACCCACTATCAGGTCTGGCCAGCTATGGAGAAAGGGAGACAGTCAGTGTGGGGTCCTCCCAGGCCAACAGAGTCAAGAGAAGATGCCCAAGGTCACTTATACCTCCTGGACGCAGCACCCCCTAGACCCCACTCCCCTTGCCCACTCTCACCCATCATTATTCAGATCTGCCACAGCCAGCGAGTAGCCAAAGCCAGAGGTCAGACGCTCTCCAGAGAGCATCACTTCGGGTACTAGGCGACTGGCACTGTCTTTGCGCAGAATGACTACAGCACCCTTGTGGTTGGCACGGGGGGCCCCTGCCACAAAGCTCAGCTCTTCTGCTCGCACCAGACCCTTCCCAGAGTCAATGGAGAATCCTACGAATGAGGGATGACTTACCAGTTAGTGTTTCCCTAAGATTCAGAAGCCGGGTGCACCCCAGCTACCCCCACCCTGCCTGAGTCTAATAGGTCTGGAGCCAGAAGGTAAAGGTGCCCCCAAGTCATCACCACCATAGCTGGACTGCTCTTCCTCCCCCTCCAGTGGTCTGGCAGCCCTCCCACACTCTCCTGACCCAGAGACTAGAGTTTGGCACAAGAATTGTGATGAGGTCAGCCTCAGGGACTAAAGAGGAGGGAAAAAAAGTAATGACAGAGAAGCCCAGATGACCAGCAGTGGGAGGGGCACAGTGTCAGGAGCTGGGCTAAGGCAATACCTGTATCTACACACCCTAGGAGGCCCCAGTCCCACCCAGTGCACCTTCTTTGGCCCCACTCCCACCACGCTGACAGGAGAAGACTTCACGTGGATGGGAGGGAGACACAGACAAGCAAGGAAGAGCCTGCTTCACCCAAATGTCTCTCAGGCCTTTCCTTCTCCTCCTTAGCAGAGGGATGTAGATGAGACAATGGGGGGACTTACCAACAAGCTAGACCATTCTCCAGCCTGAGCCCACCATCAACCCCTCAGAGAAAGGCCCCCCAGAGGTCAGCACTGTCCTTCCCAGGACAGTCTCAGCCCTTTCTCTGTCATTTCATCAGGATCTTCCTCCATGAAGACCCCTCACTCACAGCCCCCAAGGCCGTGACCCTTGGAGTCTCCTCTTCTTGGGTCTAGTGACTAGGCGCTCAAAGGTCTTCTCTGTAATTTGGGCCCTGGGTGAGTATTGGTGGGGCAAGGCAGGAAAAGAAGGTTCCCTGGGGAGAGGGGAGGCCAGGGCCAAGCCCCCAGGGCCCAGGAAATGGGAGCTTACAAACCTAAGTAGCTATTCAAGGCCAAGTCTCCGGCTGGTCCTGGAAGCCGGTCAGCAGGATCCAAAGTTTTATACACGAGCTGGTCAGGGTCTGAGCTATCAATGTTGGTCACAAAAAGCAACCCTGTGGGGGTGAGGGGGAGGTGGGGAAGAGACACCAGGGAAGGGACATCCAGAGGAAGGACCACAGAGCAAGGAGAGAGAGCCAGACAGAAAGGCCAGAAGAAGATGTAAGAGGAAGAGGTGGAGGAAGAAAATGAGAGAGATGAAGAGAACAGAGAGACAGGGTGAGAGACGGACAGAGACAGAGACAGAAGGTTGGGAGCATGGAGGGTGGGGAGGACGAGAGAGGAGCAGAGGGTTAGAGCCGTTGTGGGCCAGGGAAGGGTCCCTACCAAAGTAGCTGTTGGCAGGGACCGGGATGAGGCGGGGGTCCTGCTCCTTCTCACCCCCCGCCTCGTAGGGCCCGTCGTCCAGGTGTGCCAGGTCCGCTGAGCCCTGCACACAGAGCTCCACCCTGGCTGTGCCTGCAAGGACAGTCCTGTTAGTGCCTGAAGCAGGGAGCAAGGAGCACCCCACAGGTGGGACACTGAGTTAGGCACATGAGGACATCCCTCCTCTCCTTTCCAGCCCCATCTTCACCCCCCCCTCCCTAACCCAAGCATGCTGGGGTCCCCTGGACTTGGCATCACACACTCACCGAGTGTCAGCTCAGCCAACAGCAGCGTGCGGAGGCAGGAATGGCAGTGATGAGGGCTGGGCTGCATGTCGGAGCAAGCAGGCCCTGGCTGGGTGGGCAGACCCAGCTGTGCATGTGGGGGCTCATGCCAGCATGTGGAGGAACATTTGGCCATGCAAGGAGAGAAGATACCCCGTTCATGTGTGTGGTGGCATGATGTGGGTGGAAGGCATGGCAGTGCCCCAGGGCAATATGCCAGTGAAAGCATGGTCATGCTTGGCCACCTGCTGCCTGCAACCCCATCTCTGGGGTAAGAGGAGGTTTTGGTCCCCTTCTCCCCACTCTCTAAGGAGTGACTCACCCTTCCAATTATAAGTTCCTGGAGCCCCAAAGAGGAGGTAGTGGCTGTCGGGGGAGAAGGCAGCAGCTGTGCCCTGCTGGCAGAAACCAAATTGTTCGTGGCCCTGGGGGCGCCCCTCACAGAACTTCCACTCCCCACCATCCAGCTCATCACGGATGGCCAAGTCCTGGCTTAGCACAAAGCATCGACCGATCACATCCCTCGTCTCCAGGATCTGGTCTACTCGCTGCCTCGACTCATATCGATGTGCACAGGTCTGTGAGAAGAAGGCAAGAAAAGTCATTTATTTCCTGTGTGGACCCGGGATCTGCATGCTACCCACATGCAGACATGTGGCAGACATATCACACACACATGCACATCACTGGAGCATACCACCCAGCCAGTGTTAAGCAAGTCCTTGCATTACCCAGCATCCCATCTGCATCTACTTCCTTGCCCTCTCAGAACATCACCCTTATTCCACATTCTGCGTAGGCACCCACAGATACAGAATATGTCCCTCCCCGGTCACAATCCTGCAATACGCTGAGCGTGGTCCTGTCCTTGGACCTTTTAAGGCCACCACTTCATTTACAAAGAACCTCCTTCTCTTTTCATTCCCCAGGCCTGACCTATTCTTGAAAGTCCAGGTCAAATCACTACACTACCAGAGTCCTTCCCTACTCCTTCTGTACATAAGTACAGAAGGAGTACTTATGTACTTATGGGGACTGGACCTCTCACTTAATGTTAACCATATTCAGCCCTGTGGTGACTTGTATTGAAAATTGTGTGCCTATGCATGTTAGTGAAAGGCCCAAAGAGACCTATAAAAGAGAGAATGAGGGTGAGGGTTGTAACTCAGTGGTAGAGCGTTTGCCTCACACGAATGAGGCCCTGGGTTCGATCCTCAGCACCACATAAAAAATAAACAAATAAAAATAAAGATATTGTATCTGAGGCCCAAAGAGACATATAAAAGAGAGAATGAGGGTGGGGGTTGTAACTCAGTGGCAGAGCGCTTGCCTAGCACGTATGAGGCACTGGGTTCGATTCTCAGCACCACATAAAAATAAATAAATAAAATAAAGGTATTGTGTCCATCTACAACTAAAATTTTTTAATTAAAAAAAGATAATGTGGGGGCTGGGGATGTGGCTCAAGCGGTAGCGCGCTCGCCTGGCATGCGTGCGGCCCAGGTTCAATCCTCAGCACCACATACCAACAAAGATGTTGTGTCCGCCAAGAATTAAAAAATAAATATTAAAAAAAAAAAGATAATGTGTCCATCTATAACTAAAATATATATATATATATATTTAAAAAGAGAAAGAGAGAGAAAATGAGAATCCCCATGACTATTTGGCAGAAATCAGGCCTTCCACTGTCCTTATATTTCCTCTCTCAGTAACTAACACAGTTTCTTATGCTTAAAAGGTTCTCAATAACAGTTGGTAAACAGACGAGTGAAAGAACGGATGGTTAGATGTTTTTAGATTTTTAAGGAACAGGGACCGTGTCTTATACTTATTTATAATTGCCCTGGGAATCATACTATGTGTCCATCTTGTGCTCCGTAAGCACATCTGGGCATATGCACACAGATTACACAATCATCATCATAGTCATCATCATCATCATCATCATCATCCTTGCATTCAGCCACAAGACGCAGTACTCACGACAATCTTGCCCCCAGGTCCCTGGCTCCGAACACTGACTCCCAACCACTGGTTCTCCTTGCTTTCCTTTTGCACATCAGCTGGAGGCAAAACACTGGGAATTAGGGACGAGAAAAGGAAGCCAAGTCCTCTTCCCCACTCCACCCAGCAGGGCCGCACCTCCTCGGTCAATGTCCACTCTGTAGCAGTCAGTCTCCTCCAGGCTCAGAGGGCAAGCGAAGAGGCCTCCAGTGCGATTTGCCTGCTGCCCAGGAAGAGCTAGGGCCTGGGGAGCACCCACCAGCAGCCTGCATGATGGGGCAGAGGCCAGAGTTAGAGGTCAGTGTTCTCCAACCTCCCGTGAGCTGCCCAGGCCCAGGGGCCAAGCAGTGTTTAAGAACTAAAGAGAGGGAGAAAAAGGGATTTTTCTCAAATTCTGGTGAGAACAGACTAATACCCTTGGCCATACAAATGTCATGTTACATACTCTCTGGATGAAGGACCAACACACATAGCCTGGCCAGCACTGCTTGTTTGAAAGAACCGCCTGTTCCCAGCACCTGTTCCTGTCTAGGCCTTCCCTACCAACTGCTTGGCCCCATCCCCAGGCTCTACTCTCCTCCCCAACCCTCATTCAGTTGAAACCCTGCCAGAAATGCCAAGAATGCTGGGAGCAAAAGCAACAGGGGCCCAGAGTGACACCACAGTGTCACTCTGAAGCAGGCTTCTGAACCAGCTTCTGAAGCAAGACAAGAAGCTAGATATGGGCCTTCCTCTCTCTCATCAGGGGCCCAGCAAATATACCCCCACCCTGACCCCCAACAACTCTGCCAGCCCAGGATTCTATCAGCCACGTTGGCTATCATGGAAGAAGGGACAAGTTTCTCATTCTGTGGCCAATCCTACCCCCATTCTCCTCCTCCCAACCTGAATCCCCTTCCCCATTCTTCCTTCTCCTCCCACAACCATGATCCTCTCCTCTCTTCCCACCCCCTGCCACCCAGTCTTCTCTCCACCTCCCTTTCAGCCTCTTTCCCAGCCACGGCTTTCTTGGCAGGACAATTTTCCATGATCACAGCCAAGGCATCTTCCCCAGGGGAGGACTGTACTGGGAATGGAAGCTTCCTGGGTCCCCCAGGGCTGAACCCCCAGGCCAGGAGTGAAAGAGGAATGAGGTGAGCCAGCAACCCCCAGCTGGCCACATGGGTCCTCTCTTTGCAGAAGGAAGCACTCAAAAGTGGCAGTAGGGGCTGGGGATGTGGCTCAAGTGGTAGTGCGCTCGCCTGGCATGTGCGGGACACTGGGTTCAATCCTCAGCACCACATAAAAATAAAAATAAAGATGTTGTGTCCACCGAAAAACTAAAAAATAAATATATTTTTTTAAAAAGTGGCAGTAGGACAAACCTTAAGGCTTCTCACCCACACTCTTATTCCACCCCCTTTCCTGGGGGGCAAGGCCCAAAACTACAGGGCAATATTACAGACAGTCATCTGTGGGGCACCATGCCAGTTCTGATGGGGTTGGGGGAAGGCACAGAGCCATTCTCCCTTCCCTCAACTCCTCCTCATCTCTTAGCAGCTGTCATCCCATGTCAGAGCCAGTGTCATAAGAGAGAAGGGGGATGGGGAGCAATAGGGAAGGGAACATACATTCAACATTCATTTAACAACTATTTATTGAGACCCTATCATATACCAAACCCTGTGTCAGACACTAGTGAGACAAGGAAATAGTATTATTCAGCACCTACTATGGGTCATAACCTAAGCTAGACACCAGGAATGTGAGAAAATAATGTTTATCATTCTCCAAATAAGTGTCAGGCATTGGGCAAAGCAAGTCACATTCATTATCCCATTAACCTCACAACAATCTTATGAGATAAGGATTCTTTCCTTGTCTTCCAGATTAGGAAACTCTATTCAAAGATATTAAAAAGTCTTGCTGGAATTCAAATCTACATCTGCTTAACTCCATTACTTAAGGTCATTTCACCGAATGATTGGCCTGTCTTCAGTACACTTAGACAACTGTAGGAAAGGAAAAGGAGGAAAGGGAAAGGAGGGTATCTTGCACACAAAAGAATCTAGATGACAGGGCCCTGTGCAAAAAAAAATGTCAGCCTTTAGACTATTCAGCAGTGTCCCCAACCTCCAAACACAAGAAGCATGGGGCTGTCTTATTCATCTTTGTGCTTACCTCATAGGAAGTGTCAAGATGAGCTGGGGATGTAGCTCAGTGGTAGAGTGTTTGCCTGGCATGCCCAAAGCCCTGGGTTCAATCCCTAGTACCACAAAGTGGACTCACAGAGACACCCAGTACCTCAGCTGGTCGGGATATAGCTAAGCACACAGAGAAGCTGAAGTGTTTCATGCTTACATTTCCCCTAGAAGATAGGAATAGGGAGGAAGGGAGGGGCCTATATGGAGAAAGGAAAGTAAGTGCATAGACAAGCCTAACGCTGCTCTTGATAGAGAAGAAATCAGCCAATTCTTTCTGGAACAAGAGCACGCACACATGGCCTCTTCATCCCCTCCACCTCTGCCCCAGCCACACCTTCCTGGCTCCATCCCATGAGTCCCAGCAGCCCAGGCCCCCAGACAGAACAATAGTCACAGCTGCACCCACCAGAGAGGATAAAAGGTTGGCAGCTGGAGGTAGAGAGACCCTTGGGGGCCCAGCTAAGTGCAAAAGAAGGAGTAGCCCAGGGCTGGGGTTGTGGCTCAGCAGTAGTGCTGGCCTAGCATGCGTGAGGCACTGGGTTCGATCCTCAGCACTACATAAAGTAAAAGACAGACATTGTATCCACCTATAATTAAAAATAAATAAATATTTTTTAAAAAAGAAGAGTAGCCCAATACCCCTGAACTTCTCAATTCTCCACACATGTCAGGGCTCCAGCCTAAGTCTGGCCCCTTTCTGACCCCTTTCAACCTGGGTGGCCCACTGGGAAGGCTACTTTACCCAGCAGGTTGGTTCAGCCTTGGGGGGCCTCAAAGCCTTTGGATTCAGGATCTCTGTAAGGCACTAAAACTAGCCTCTGTGGATCACAGTACAAAAATAGCCAAACTACAAACACTTTCATAGTACCTGTTATAGGCTGTGAACTATTCTAAGCATTTTATATATATTAAGAACTCTTAGGGCTGGGGCTTTAGCTCAGTGGTAGAGTGCTTGCCTAGCATGGGTGAAGCACTGGGCTTGATTCTCAGCACTGCATATAAATAAATGAATAAAGTAAAGGTCCATCAATATGTAAAAAATATTTTAATACTCAAATTATATATATATATATATATATAATCTTAGAATATATATAATATTACTCCTCAAACAATCCTATGATGTGGAAGTACAAATTGTTTATCTCTGTTTTATAGTTGATGGAAATTACCATGGAGCAAAATAAGAAGGTTAGACCTCAAAGTCTCATTCAAAGCCTTTCCATCAGTGAATGCTAAAGATAGCCTTATTTTTTTATTGTTGGTTGTTCAAAACATTACATAGTTCTTGATATATCATATTTCACACTTTGATTCAAGTGGGTTATGAACTCCCATTTTTACCCCGTATACAGATTGCAGAATCACATCAGTTACACTTCCATTGATTTACATATTGCCATACCATGTCTGTTGTATTAAGGATAGCCTTTGAAACTAAAAGCTAGGGACTGAGTAAGGTACCTGGCCTCTTAGGGCCACCAAGCAGCAGAGCGCCCCCTGCCGGAAAAAAGGACAAGGTTAGGCAGTCAGACCCCTCTGCAAATGCCCCCAAGCTTGGCTCTGGGAGTCAGAATCAGGAGCCACATTCAAAGAGAAGGGGAAAATGACAAGAGACCAAGCCATTAAAAATAACCTAGAATTTGCCTGGAAATAGCACAGAGAGTTCAGCATGTCCTAAAAAGGCCTCCAGTCCTGGAACTCTGGCAGATGGGGGAAAGAGAAGGAGGGGTGGGGGAGGAATGAGACAGAGATGAGGGAGGAAGGGATGGCAGCCTGAAGAAAAGGTGAAGTCAGTTCCTTTTTACATCCTAAAGTTTTAAGGGCTGTTGACCCTGCTCCCCGATGACTGTGATAATGGAACAAGGAAGATTAGAGCTAGCCCCCACTTTCTGTGACTAAAGAGAAATAAGCTCTTATCCCTGCCCTCTGCCCCCAGGGCAATAATGGGAATGGGACTGTCCCAGTGGACAGCATTGATTCCAGTAATGGACATTTAATGGGTCTTAGGCACTGGCTTAAGAGAGAGAAGCCCCCCTGGCAGGATGGGAGTGGGAAGCTTTGTTTCCCTTCTGGTCTCTCTTTTTAGCAAGAGCCAAGAGTACAGGAAGCATGACCAGTTGCAAGCTCCACCTAACTGTGTCCATCTCCCAGGGGTCCTGAACTGATGAGAAGAGAACTAGAATTGTCCTCTGCCCCTCACTCCTCCTCTGCTGAAATTTTTGGAGTTGGAAATTTCCTAAGGGGGAGGAGAGGGAGCAGCCTGGCCAGCATCCTTCCTGGATCTCTCTCACTGCTGCTGGTACTGCTGTTGCTGCTGCTGCTGCTGCAGCCACCGCTGCCACTACCACTACTCTGGAGACTGTTTTCTGCCACCCTATCACCAAACCACCAATGCAAGTTGCCAGGCCCTCCAGTCTCTCAATCTTCCTGCTGCCTTGAGCCTCAGAAGTAGCAGCTGCGCTCTCCTGGCCTTCCAGTGTCCTGTAGCCCTCACTCCATCCCACAGCAATGCTCTGGCAGAAAGTTATTTCTGGAGTCTTACCTTCCACCTTCCATCCCTCCCATGACACCCTCATCCTCTCTGTCCTTTCCCTTTCCTTCTGCCCTAGGTAGAGACAGAATGATCAGTCTTCCTTCCTGGGGGAATTTAGCCCTCTAAAGGAGAAGAGCCAGAGACCCTGGAGCTGGAACAAAGATGCAAATTAAGGGAAAAGGCAGAAGGAGATGGTTCCCTGCCAAGGCAAGAGCCTTGCTCTCCAACTCATCCCCAAAGCAAAATTCTGGGTCTAGGACCTGGACGGAGGTGGGCTCTAAATCCAAGACACATGAGATAAGTCTCCAGGTTGGGATATGGGATGTCTCTGGGCAGCGTAGGAGTTGGTAGAGTTTGAAGATAGAAGAAGAGGTGACTGGTGAGTCGGGGGTGGGGAGTGATCTGTGGCTTGGGCCTGGGGACTCTGGGCGGGGGCGGTGACTCACCAGCTCTGGGGTCGGGGCTGCAACTGCCGATGCAGGGCCACAGAGAAGCCGAAGAGGCTGCCTGGCTCTCCTTCCTTGCGCAGAGCGCCCATCACATCCAGATTGAAGGCGACAGCCCGTGGAAAAAGCAGTCCGGCGAACAAGAAACCAAGAAGATAGCAGATCCCAGGGGGCCCCCAAGAATCGCAGCTCCGAGCCCCGGCCATGGGACGAATCCCGTGAGTGCTCCCCAACAGTGAAACAACAGTGCAAAGAAAAAACAGGTCTCCCCGGGCGTGTCTCCAGTTTCCGAAGTCTAGCTGGTCTTTCAGGGGGGTCTTCCAATCTTTCGCCCGGACACCCCGCCCTCGCTCGCCCCTGGCAGCACCAGCATCGGCTGGGACAACTACAGCGGCCGAAGCTTGGGAGTCCACTAGGCTCCCGCCGCCTCTCCTGGGGTGCCGCCCAAGTCCCGCCCTCGGCCCCGCCCCCTCTTTCCCGCAGCAGGTGGAGACTACCGCACATTTTCAAAAGATGCCCAGACCCTCAGTAGGAATTGGCCTTGTTCCCCCTGTACCCCCAGCCCAACACCAGCTCCGCCCCACCCCATTCTCCCGCACCCCTATTCTAAAGAGGCGGAGATGGCGCCTAGAAATGAGGAGGGAGCAAAGAAGTACAAATAGGAGGATCAGAAGAGAGAGTAAGAGAGAAGTACGATGAGACCGAAAGACAACCTGGGAAGAGAGCTATATAGACAAAAAAGCAGAGGAGAGGAAGGGGAGAAATTCTGGGGGTATGGTCCCTTAGCATCCCGCCTCCCCACCATAGCACAGAGCATCCCTCAGGCTGCTGGAAAACCACTTCCCACGCCCCAGAGACTGGCAATGGTAGAGGCAATGCTAGTCACACTGTCAGCATTTTTTCTTTTCTTTTCTTTTGGTACCGGGGATTGAACCCAAAGGCACTTAATCACTGAGCCACATCCCCAGACCTTTTTTATTTTTATTTTGAGACAGGCTCTCACTAAGTCGTTTAGTGTCTCGCTGATATGCTGAGGCTGGCTTTCAATTTGTGATCCTCCTGCCTCAGCCTCCTGAGTCGTTGGGATTACAGGCCTCAGCCACCACACCCAGCACATTACCAGCATTCAAAGAACAGAGGAAAAAGGCCCAGGCAAAGAGCACAAAGAACAACTCCGGAAGTATAGGGAGGGTAACAAATAGAGAAATGGAGAAAGAAAAAAAAATAGAGAAGGAGAAAGAAGTGCAATAGTTCCATCAACAAAGACTAGAATGAAGGAGGGGAGGGCAAGAAAAGCCTGAGTGTTATACATGAAGAGCAAATTAGCTAGTAGGAGGAGATAGGTGGTGTCAAAGAATGGCAGGGGTGAAAGAGACAAGATCCAAGAGACTGAAGGATGGAAAGGGTGTCTCAGTTACCAGACTTCCCAGGACTGTACACTTCCCATGCATCAAAGGGGAAGGAGACTGGAAGACCAGAGTCCTGGGCTGGCTCAGGCAGGAGCTGGGTGGGGCAGAAGAGGGATCTCCACGGGGACCTAACAGCCTGTCCCTCTATCTCTCCCTTCCCCCCAAGGCTGGGACAGAAGCAAAGGGAGGGGACATTTTCCAACCCTCTGCTATTTATAACTCCAATCCAGAAATGGAGCCAGGAGAAAAGATAGAAAATAATTTGGCAAAACCGGAACTTTGCAGGCTCCTATTTTCCCTTCCCACTCTCCTTTCTTACTCGATATTGGTCATATGTATATTCAACTGTCCATCTTTCCCTTCTCTCTCTGTTTTTTGTCTATCACATATTCTATGTTTGCCCCTCCTTCTCTCTGTCACATTTGGAATCTTTCTCAGATCTCTGCCCTTCAATAGCTCTCATATTCTTATGATTCTCTCCTTTCCTTTCCTCAAAGCTCTAATACATAGCTTACCTACCACTTCTTCCCATGTTCCCTTTATCTCATTTGCTTCTTTGTTCAGAATCATACTTTTTTATAGGAAAAAAAAACAGGTGGGCTCTCAGTCTAATGTCCCTGGAACAATCCTTGCTCCAGGTAAGTTAAAATATGTTTGATGATTTGACCTTCTGTTTTTGTAATACTTCACCTGTAGACATCCTCTATAGGAAAGTAGTTTCACCTCTAAACAAGTGCTATGAAGGAAATACATGTGCTGACCAGTATTCTACTTTCATTATTCCCCAGATATGCCCCCTCCATATGTTTTCTCAGACCCCCTGACAGTAGAGAGGAGCTGGTAAGAGAATGCAGAATAGCAAAATCAGGATAGAACCCAGGACATCTAACTCCCAGTCCAGACCTCCAATTCAGGCCATAAAACCTTTAGTGTCCCAGCCACCTTCCTCCCTGCACCTGCTGCTTCTGCCTGCCTCCATTTCCACTTCCCTGGCTTCTGATAAATCTAAGGGTGAAATCAAATGCCAAGAATCTGCATCTGACCTCCTCTGCCCAAATATTTGAGAAGTCACCTCACATGCCACAGAAGGAAAAAGCAGAACAGAGACTGGCCACCCAAAATTAGCCTGTCTATAAATAGTGGGGCAAGGCAGTACTGGTAACTCACAAGAACACTAGACCAGACTAGTAAATTTAGACAAGTAGATTTTCCCTAAAGCAGAATTGAGACCATAATGTTGAAATGGAGCATAATCAAGATACAGATCTCAATTCCATAAAGGAGATCCCTTATGTTCTCCTACTATCCCTTTTTAATGGACCCATCCTTCCATCTTTGTGACCTGGAAACTACTAATATGTTCTTCATCTATACAGTTTTGTCACTTGAAAATATTATATGAGTGGAATTATGCAGGAATAATGCAGCATCAGTACTTTGGGGGGTTGTTTTTTGTTGGTTTGGAGGGTTGGGGATTGAACCCAGGGTTTTACGTCTTGTGCACCACGATAGACAGGTGCTCTATTACTGAGGTATTTAATTCAATTCTCAATACAATATTATGCTCCACTCCAACATTCTGGTCTCAATACTGCTTTAGGGGAAATCTATTCATCTACTTGGGGTTGAGCTGATTCTATACATGCGATAAAACTGCATAGTGCGGGATGGGGATGTGGCTCAAGCGGTAGCGCG